GCGCCTTAGACCGCTCGGCCATCCTGACCGCTGGGCGCCCCTCTCAGCCGGCCCGATTCAGCTCTGCCGCGGCGCCGGCCCGCCCTGGAGCGAAGAAACACCTTACACAGGGGCAGCAGCAGAAGGGGGCTAAGGGCAGAGGAAGTTACGGGTTAGGGAAGGGCGATGGCATGGCAGCACGCCTTCCCAGCTTCCCGTTACAGCCTCCAGCATCTGCTCTGCCTCCAGGCCCTTCAAGTATATAAACCGCCCCATGGAAACACCACCCTTCACCACCACTGAGCACCAGAAGACGCTGTTCTGTCACACTATTAGCGACCATGGGTGAATGCTACTCTCAGCCCTCTGCAAGAGGCCGCAGGATACTACCGAGTCTTAGGGAGAAACCAGGCACCGAAGCCTTGCCCGCTCCCATCCATTAATTCTGAGCCGGTGGCAGCAGGGTTTGTTCTGCTTTACTGCTAATGAGCCTGTAGAAGATGATTTCAGGACAGTCAGAGACAAAGAGAGACTGCTTTTTGACAAATGAGTAGAAAAAGAACCCCTGATCTCCTTAATGTTAAGTGTTATAGTGAAGTTTCTTCAACAAGGCCCTAATAATTTTGTGTTGCAGTGAGGTACAAAAACGTGGTTACACATGGGCTAACATTATTTAGCAGTACTTTGAGATACATTTTTGCTCAGTTCTGAAGATAATAGTGCAAACCAAAGTCAAACAAAAACCACTTCTCCCCACCCAATAAAATTCCTTTAAAAATTTGACCTTAAATACACTTCCCTTAGCTGCATTGATTTGCCATTTCAGAAGACAGTATCTAGAAGTACATGCTAGTCCTTCAGCTTCAGAATTTCTCTGAACAAAGCTGAATGTCACTTCATATCCCATCAGTTATTTGGGTTTCCTAAGAAAGGCTGAAGCCCTTTCCTTGAGAGAACTTCATACAAATAGAAAAAGCAATTCATTCCTATGGCAGTATCTGATACACCTAACCGTTATACTACATGGAGACTACAGTTACGTTCAGCCAAAGGAAGACACACAGAATGAAGGGATAATGTGTACAAGAGATCAATTTAAACTGTATTTAGTAATACACCTTAGAGGGAAACCTGCTAGGCTAACAGTAGCTCCAAGGAAAGGGAGAGGAGCTCAGACCAGAGTGCACATGAACTCCAGAGAAGAAACTATAACCCAAGTTCTGCTCACGTAAACATCCAAACCAAAATAAAGTAACAAAATAAAGTAATTTTAGAAAGTTAGTCCATGGCTTCCTGTTTTGTGGAAGAGAACAGATGTTCCAATATGTTTTCCAGAAAACCAGCGTAGCAAGGCAAATGAGCAGTGTGCTATGTTCCCCAAACTGAGATTATGGTTAAATTACCCAAGTTGCACAGCCTTCCTTGGTTCTGAGAGATGCGCAAGACACTTCCACCATGGTTGAATTTATGGACATACGCACACAAAAATTACAAATTACTGTTTTTGTACCCCTTAGTCCCTATATCCGTGCAATAAATTGGAATAATCCCACAGCTTCACTTGCACATCCTGTCAAGGCAGGTGAGAGAAACAACTAACACAGCCGTATCATACTCCACCAGGACACTGTTGTACTAACAAGAACCACTGATCTGCAGATAGATCTCTCCTTCACTCAAAAGGCTACCAAATGCTACTACCTTATTCCATGGGGAATGACCGTACAGGAACCAACATTTAGTTTCTTATCAGCACTCTTAACTTGTCATGCTTTACCACTTAGCATTAGAAATAAACTCTTCAAAGGCCCTCATTTGGTATGGAACTTATGGGAACTGTGCCAAATCCCAGAGAAATGGTGTAATCAATAGAAAACCAGAATATGCAGTGGATATGGCCAGGGACACAGCAGAGGGAGATGGAAACAGGGAAGATGCACTACCAATAAAAAAATACTTGCCTAGAAACATCACTCATCTGCACATACCACTTCTGATAGGAGAGAGAATACAAACAATTAATCAAGGACTTGCAACTCATCCACTATTAAAAAACGGGAACATCTAAGGAAGAATAGTCTATACATTAAATAGTCTATACATTAAAATGCTTGCACTAAGAAAACCTTACACTATTAATACTCAGAAGAAAAAAAGCCCCCACAACAACCAGGAATTCAGGTTCTGTTTCATAGGAACATAACAGAAATCTACTTCCCTGCTTGAATAATTACTTTGAGCAGGGTAGAGAAATGCTTCTTCACCTAGATGTAAAAAGTCCTCCTAAGGAACAAAAGAGAAAATGAAGTATTCCTCTAAGTCCTTCCTTAATTATGTTACTTATACATTCTAAAGTTTATACAGTCGTCTTATAGCAGTGTGCTCAGAAGTTTTTTTTGCTTCCTTCATGCCCACCCAACCTCACCACTCAACCTCTGAACTTTCCTACCTCACACTTGTCTCTTGTTCTTGTTTCACTTATGCCTGTGCTTCTCCTATCCTGAAGAGTTTTCTAACTAAAAAGCATACGTAGGAAACCAAGAAACAACCAATTTTTTTTTTTTTAGTATTTACTCAAAAGTGTTTTAAAACAATAGCTTAATTTATAACTTTATTGACCTTTGGATACACGATCTAAACCAAACTCCTGAAGTTGGTAACTTCTCCTGGAACAGTTACAAAAATGTAGTTATTTGTTCAAAATAAGTGACCACCTTAAACAGCAGTCCTTTGTTGAAGTCTGCACAGTTTCTTGTAGGTATAAAATCACTTTCCATTGTGTATTGTAAAGGATAATTAGATGCCAAAGAGAATTTTGAGGTCAGCCAGAGTAAGCTTAGTGAAGGCCTCCCCTTTGCCCGACAGCACCTGCTGGGCGAGAACTTTCTTCCTCCTCTGGAGTTGTACGATCTTTTCTTCTACTGTTCCTTCGCAGACAAACCTGAAAAAAACCAAAGATACATCATCTCAACCTCTAGGAAAAAATGTCAGCATTATATAAGCACTTCCCCAGTAAATATCCAAAGACTTGTCTCTCTTAAAAATTAACAGCCTATTATGTAACCGACAAAATATGCCTTTGCACAGAAAATGGCTGTTCTCATATCCAGATATTATAGCATTTCACATAAAAGTCTGATGCACCTTAGGCCTCCATTTTGGTCATCTGAAGCAATAGTAATTCTGTGACAAAATCCTGTAGTGATTGCTTGATAACTGATGGCCCCTATTATACCAAAAGCATTGTACACTAAATAGTATTTTAGATTCCAGTTGCTTTGAATTTGCTGTGCATTTACAATAACTAAGCTAGCCTTTTAGTACTTAGAATTACAGATGCTTTTTCTAAAAGCCAACTTTGCCACTTATTAGAAGTGCTCTGTATGTTCGTGTTAGTGATATTAGGAAGGTCCAGGCTTAGGGAGCACGGTGAAAAATCTCCACTCAATAAAAGAAGAGAAATGGCTTAGTGCCTGAATTGTTCTCAGGAACGAACAGGACATTCCCACTAAACCACAGGTTGAAAAACAATGAACTACTGCTAGCTGTCAGGACAGTAACGTGCAGGCAAGTGCCACATAGAAATATTTTCATGTGGTCTCTTATCTTGGTACCCAAACCCCAATCCCACCATCAGACCTTGTGCCTAGCTTTAAGTAAAGAAACAAGCCTCAAACCAAGGCCTTGTCTCGCCAACTAAAGTCAGACAGCACATGAGCAGCAACAGCCTCATTTACTGCTAAGGAAAATCCTGACCTGTGTATCACAACATCCTTCTGTTGCCCCACTCGGTAAATGCGGTCACATGCCTGGTCCTCAACAGCAGGATTCCTGCAAGAAAAAAAAAAAAAAGAAAGCTTAAGGGCTTATGTTCAGGAATAACTGAAATATCAAAGCCTCTGTGCTTGCCTCATTCGTCTGCCTCCAGAGCACCCTGTTTTCTTCCTCTGTAGAACTAAAACTGCTCCCAGGTTACCTTAGGTTTACTAGCTTGATCACCAATATTTACCGAACCAGATTTCCCTTTGCCGTGGTAGAACTGTGCTACAACGCCACACAAAGTCAACTGTGTGAATTAGATCACTATTCCATCTAGCCCCGTATTTCTGGCCAATAGTTAGTACTCACAGAAAGCTGAGTAGCTGGTGAGGAGAGTGAAGCAGGAAGGCAAACTTCATTGAAAGAGGCCTTCACTCAAGAATATTTACATAAGAAATGGTTCCATTTGACACACAGTTACAGGGAATACTTATTGGCATAACTTCCATATTGTAGAAGCATCTCCTTAATGCTGCTACTCAGCTGCTAGTTTTATATTGAAACACATTAGTTTGCTTTGTAAGTTCCCACGAGCAACATTTAGTTAGAAAAATTGTGATTCTGACTTTGAGAGACCACATAAATATTATGAGCTCATATGCACTATTTTCATAGCCCTGTAAAACCCCAAGGTACACTAGCTATGCCTGATTACTGATGGTGCTCAACACAATCAATTTGTTTCAAGACAAATTCCCTGTAGGCATTACTGTACTATTTTTATTACTGCAAGAAATTAAGCCAGGGACTGCCAAGTCCCCAGTACCCTTTTGAGATACAGACAGCATACTTGCTTCTTTGGATTGCTGTTATGCTCCACTATTTTTTTACCCCTACAGAACTGTATTTCATGGCGGTGAGCACTGGACTGACAAATCAGTGTCTTGGAAGAAGGCTTGGAAGTAGTAAAAACACTTTTCAAAAACTAACCATTAGCCCTTACTCTCAGCTAAACACTTCCCTCTTAACCCAGTTGTATCAGAAGTCACAATACACGTGGTGAGAAAGAAAACAGCGTGCCCCACATACATCCTCTGCGATGGAACTTTTATTTCTCTTTACCAGTGTATGTCAAGGAGAAAGAGGTGGTTTCCTCCAGTCAAGTTCAGGCCAACGCCTCCAGCCAGCAATGAGACCAACATTACCTTCAAAGGCCAAAAGGGAGTTAAATTAGGGAGCCTGTTTCCAGAAAATGAAAGCTTCATATACTCCACATATTAATTTGAACTGAAGGATCTGTTTATCATATTTATACTACATGTGTATATTTATTATGTATTTGGGAGCTTGCCAGATGCTACTTGATAAGGCATAGAAGCATGGACATGGAAGTTATGGCTCAGAGAGGCCAGCCTAACATTCCATATATATTACCCCTAGTTTTTACAGACTAGAGAAAGGACTGAAAAGTTCAGGCTCTCTCCGGGTCCCCACTCAAATCAGCCGCCTCTCTGATGGCAGCCTGTTGCCAACAATGGGAGCAATCAGCACCAATTCTGAATTAACAGTAATGATTACTTAAACACAGGCAACTAGACTGAAATGGCCTGCCACTCCTTTCACTTTGTTTCCACATAACCTGATATTTAGAAAAAGATGAGTAGCTGGGGAGGAAAGGGGATATAGCAGATGGTCAATTTAGAGAAGATTTCTTGTAGCAGGAAAACTCGATTAAGGACAGAGACAATTGCTATATATATTTACTACTCAATTTCATGGTATGGTACCTTAAAACCCTGATCTTGTTTAAGGGGTCAGCTATTCATATAGCTGGCAGAAATCTTCCTTTCTTTAAGTTCAAAGCTAGAAGGAGAAATACCTATTTTGTACATAGCAGCTAGTTCAAGAAATCCAGCAAAGAAAACAAGCTAATGCACCACATTCTCGCCTTCCAGTCACAGATCCATCCTCAGAGGAGACAGCCTGTCCTGCCTCAATCACAGGAACGTCAACGTTCAGATGAAAGTGTACCACTATGAACAATGAATTTGGATTCAGACTTCTTTAGTCACCTGGCAAACTTCCTTGCCTTAGCCAAAATTTCAGACTAGAAACTAGAAAAGCCAAAACTGTAGTTAATCAGTATTCAAAAAAAAGACACCTCAAAAATGATAGAAGTCACAGGAGGTCACCTTATTTTGGAAGTGTGCAACACTGACTTCTCTCACCCCAAGCCCAATCTTCCTATCCTTATACCAGGGTGAGATAAGCTCTTGTTAATTTTAGCCTCATTCAAACATTCAGCTGTCATTCTCTCTTCTCAAAAGGATTAGTTTGGCACAAAGTATCTGGTGCGCTGGAAAACAATAAGAAAGTCTTACAGGTTCCTTGGCAAGCAGGTGATATAAAGGAAAAGAGATCTTCCAACACAGCGACATGAGCTGGAAACAACCAACCTGCTCTGAGTAGAGCTAACTGGCCCCTTATCTTCCACAATAGTCTGTGGCAAAAACATCTTTGAACACACTGAAGATTTGGACAACTTTTGAACTAGTTTTGGAGCAAGATGATCTCTGTAGAGAAGGTTAACATCAAAAGGAGCTTTTTAGCAGCTGCTGCTGCCCATTATAAGATACATTTTTTCCCTGCTGGTCTTGGCACCTACAGGTCCAAATAAAAGTGGTGCCAGTAAATGGAATCATGAAGTCAGCTATCACAGCTGCTCAGAGCAGTGCTAGTAACTGTTTCCCTGCCCTGACTGCATACCTGAGGCCCTTTGGGATTGTTGTTGAACTCTTCCACAACATCCATTCTTTGTTTAGGATTGACAGAGCCATCCACTGTTGCATACTTCAGCCCTAGTCGCTGGAGGTGCACAGCCACAACTTTCAACATACTCGTCCACTGAGAGACAATAACACTGGGGACAGAAAAGGGTGTTTAGAACAAGTTATGTGTGTACTGTAACAGTTTGGTTATTGCAGTGTCTCACCCAAGAGGAGACAATGATTCATGCACTCTTCCCCATTGCAAACTGGAGCCAAGTCCCCTCCCAATTCAGAAATAGATTCATCTATAGGTGTAAGTGGGAGAATCTGCTGTGGAAGGCTAATATCCAACAAACTTCAGACAAATTAAGTCTATAACTTTCACCTCTATTTTTGGATTTTACATTGCCACCTACCAATCACAATTCTGAGCTTTTTCTGCAAAATGAATCAATAGCAACACCAAACTTGAATTTCCCTGAGTCTCTCACTCCTCACACTTTTTGGATTAAACAGTTTGGGAGGCAATAATTTGTTTGATAGCTTTTGGAAGGGAGCAAAAGTAATGTTGGTGTTCCCATTCTTATGATGGGAATGCTTTTTGGAAAAGATTTTGCAAAAAAGCTTTCTACATATGGTTCAACTCTGGAGTTGCCCAAGAACAGGACTTCCCCTTCCAACCCACCTTCAACATAACAACACAGCTGTAACTACTTTGCAGCCACACACCTGTAAGTGCATTCTACACTGTTTAACAAAACCACACAGAAAATCCTATAACACTGCAGTCTGGTGCAGTGCAAAGACATACAGAACTTGCATAGTGAGAGCTGCAGAACTTCAGCAACACTTAGGTCCTCTGATCAATCTATTCCTTTATCTCAAACAGGTTCAGTTTTAACCACTACTTTATTCCCCCACTTTTTTGGTGGGGGTGGGTTGCAGAGCTGAGGGCAAACATTTCCTAGCACAACCAAATTCTTCCCAATTCCATTTTTGGAGAAAAGAAGAGTCCTCCTGGGCCTCAAGGCCTGAGATTCCTCACACATTCCCCTGTATTTACACTTACCTACTTCTTAAACTACCCTTTTTTGTCTTAGATTTTTTCTTACAATCAGCTTTCAACTACTGGAGTACTGCCACTGTTTCATCATACTCAAAGTTTTGTATTCAATTGTTTTAAACTATTTCTGCTGCTGTCAAGAGACATGCTTCTCTCAATCACTATGACCAAAGAAAAGGACATGGTTACTAACCTCTTCTGAAACTCTGAGTGACTCTGTATAGTTTTCAGTTCAGCCAAGAGGTGAGCTATCTGCAGGGGGGAAAAAAAAAGTTAGTCTGCTTGCTGTCATAACCCAGCTCATGCTTGGCTATTCTTCACTAAAATAGGAAGTGATCAAAATAGCTCTTCAACTGGAATTTCTTCCGTGCTCAGACTTTCAAGATATCTTAACAGTCATTAGTAAGAACGCTCCCACCATGGAAAACAGGGTTAAGAAATCAAATCACACAGACATGTTTTATAGATTCCAACCTTCCTGGGAGAACCCAAGTTATTGCCACCTTTCCTCTTGCCGCCATCCCATTTTTTCTAGCTCTTCACAAGCACCATGCTCTCACATGCATGCTTTTCTAAACTTCTGTGAATCCAGTGCTCAAGATTTTCACTAACAGTTTATCAGTACAGTCAAATTCTCACAGCTTTATTAGAAGTACCCATCAACACCTGATAAGTTGAAGCTCAGCAGACTATCAATATACTCACCTGATTTCATCTAAATTGCCAACTTAGCCTGAGCTGCAATTACCAAGGTGTGACAATTCATTAACAATTTAAAGGCAAAGTGCTGAAATCCAAGCTTCTCAGGGAAGGTAAGAAAACCAAAACCAGAATACCTTGGTGCTCTCCCTGGTGATTTCAAAGATATCTGTTTTAAAAGCTGTGCCATTGAGGTAGACTGTTGACTTGGAATCAGGAGTCTGGAGCTCAGAGAGGGTCAAAGCACTAATTTGTTCCTCAATGGAGAGGGAAAGGCCTTCACTGTTCAAGTTAACTTGGTCCAGAGCCTGCGGGAAAGCAAGCAATATAATAAGGGATCACAGTCAAGCCTGAGATCAAATTCAGTACTGATCCACAGTCTGCATGATGTCTGCTGAGAACAGTCGGTTTGAAGGAAGCTACGCAATATGAAGACAGAACGATTAAGAAACACTACTGGGTGAGACCAACAGTCCCTTTGGCCCC